GTTGTTCCATTTTTCTTTTTCATGAGTTGGGGGGGTCTCACTCTCGCTCAGGCGAGTCTCGAACTCCTGATCTCAAGCGATTCTCCCTCCTGGGCCTCCCAGAGCGCGGGGATTACAGGCGGGAGCCACCGCGCCCGGCAACGCCTGGCTCCGTTTAGAGGCCGGTCTCGCCCTGGCTCAGGCTGATCCGGAGCCCGAGAGCCCGGGCGATCCACCCGCCTGGCCTCCCAGAGCGCGGGGATTACTGGCGGGAGCCACCACGCCCCGCCCCACAGCGCGAAGCTTTATTAGGGATTTCACTGAGGTTAAATTTCTGGGAATAAGGGAGCTCTAGTTGGAAGGTACAAAAGCCACGAGGCTTCCTCCTCAGATCTTGCAGTGAACCGCAGGCTCGGGATCGCCGCCACCTCATTCCTGGTACAAATTATTTTAAAGATGCCGCTTTAGCGTAGCGTCTATACCTGAGTGGGTAGAGCGCCCGCCACATACACCAAGACTGGCGGGCTCCAACCCGGAGCTAAAATCAACAATGACAACTGCAACAACAACAAAAAATAGCTCGGAGTTGTGGCAGGCGCCTGTAGTCCCAGCTACTTTGGAGGCTGAGGCAAGAGAATCGCTTATGCCCAAAAGTTTGAGGTTGCCCGGACGCCTGGGTGACAGCTTGAGACTCCGTCTCAAAAAAAAAAAAAATAAAAAGAAAGAAAGAAAGAAAGAAAAATGAATAAAGCAAACAAGCTGCTGCTCTGGCCCCACGAGCTAGTAGGCAGAATATTTCTCCCCAACCCAAACATGAAAATCAGGAAGACCACAAGCCAAACAGTAACTTGCATTCCAAGAGATAGGTGTGGAGGACGTATCCACATGGTGCCTGATAAACGTGTCTTCGTCCCAGGGCATCGGGTTCACTCTAGTTCAACCTCTGGTCTGTGTGGTACCTGTCAAACCATAGATCCTCTCCTGCTGTGAGCGGTCAGAATGCTTCAGGTAGTCACCATGCCCCCTGCCATGGTCCGAGAAAGGCTCATAGTCTTCTACCTGTGTATTACACTTCTTGGCGGCAGCGGCCAGATTGGCGTCTGAGGATAGGGTCCCGGGAGCATGTCCTCAGAAATGGGGGAGGCTGCCCAACACTCACCCGCACTACGTTCCCAGCTACCCCCTGCAGCCATCAAACTCCCAGCACCCCAGTCCTGGCCGCTTGCATTTTCACCTTCTTTACCTTTCACTGCAATTTACTTATTTCTCTATTAATATTTTCCTTCTAATTTACAAAGACTCAAATGCTTAGACCCAAAGATAGAAGACAGCAGTTAAAAAAACAAGTTACAGTAAGTGGTTTTTTTTTTTGAGATAAAGTCTCAGTATGTTGCTCTCGGTAGAGTACTGAGGTGTCACAGTTCACAGCAACCTCAAACTCTTGGGCTTAAGCAATTCTCTTGCCTCAGCCTCCCAAGTAGCCGGGACTACAGGCAAACACCACAATGCCAGGCTTTTTTTTTTTTTTTTTTGTTATAGTTGGCCTGGACCCAAACTGGATTTGAACCCACCAGCTCTGGTGTATGTGGCTCGCACCCTAGCCACTGAGCTACAGGCGCCAAGCCGCAATAAGTATTCTTTTAGTTATTAATTCATGTACTCAACAGACTTTATTTAGTGCCTGCTGTTTGCCAGGAGCTGGGATAGGTGTCTGGGATTCAAAGATAAGATAAGGTCCCTGCTTTTTAGAAGTGCAGTGTAGTGAAACAAGCAAACACAAAACTGGATAATTACAACGATGAGTGCAGTAATTAATGTGTGAAATTATTATAGGCTGCAAAAGAGAAGTACTTCCCCTATCCTGGAGGGGATCAAAGAAGAGCATAAACTATATTAAAGATCTGGGCCAGGCCTGAGTAGCTCACGCCTGCAATCATAGTACTCATGGAGGCCTAGAAGGGAGGATACCTTGAGCTCAAGAGTTCAAGACCAGCCTGAGTAAAAGCTCTACTAGTCTCTACCAAAAATAGAAAAATCGGCCAGGTGTTGTTGGTGGGACCTATAGTCCCAGCTACTACGGAGGCTGAGGCAGGAGATTGCGTGAATCCAGGAGTTAGAGGTTTCTGTGAGCTAAGCTGAGGCAATGGCACTCTAGCCTGGGCAACAGAATGAGACTCTGTCTCCAAAAAAAGAAAAGAAAAGAAAGGAAAAAAACACAAAAATAAAGAAGATCTGTAATTCATTTGGCTTAAGTGTGCATGGGAGAGGGTACTTGGGTTTTTTCAGTTAGATAACTTTGTGATTTGAGGTAAACCATCCAGTAATTCTAATGTAAAATATACATCAATTTGTAACTAAGGATTCATGTGGAAGAAGAGTCTAATACCATGAATAACTAAACATTAAGGTTGCAGGGCTAAGACTAGAAGTTGTAGGTTTGATTTTAAAATGTTTTCCTTAAAAAAAATAAATAAATAAAATGTTTTCCTTTTTATGTCTTTCCCCAGCTATATTATAGAAAATCAAATATAAGAAATGAAGTACCTGCAAGTGGTGGTTATTAAACTCTTCTCTCTGACATAGCCCCCGTTACACTCGGGAATAAATAAAGGTACCATCACCACACTGGAGGGAGATTAGTGCTATTTGAGGTTAGGATTTAAAAAACCCAAAAAGCTAGATTTGCAACCATTGCCCTCATATGAAATTAAGATATGAAGAAAAGCTCAAGGTTAAGTGCCCTTGAGGTTTTCTAAATTATGGGATTGAGGGGTCTGCATAACATAATTTCTTTATTCAAGAGGCTTATGCATAACATAATTTTAAGCCTTAAAAAAGTTTAACCTTTACAATAACCCTACAGTTTCCTCCTTTTTATAGCTGAGAGAACTGAAGCACAAATTGGTTTAAAAATTTGCCCAAGATCATAGAGCTAGTAATTAGTAGAGTTGGGATTCAAACCCAAGTCTGTTTAATTCCTACTTATTACTCATTTTACCATCCTGCCAAAATAGAAACTTGGGTGGGCCCATTGCTCTCATGTTGTCCTGTGGCCCTAAACTGTGTCTACAAGCTGCTACAGACACCTGGTAAAGTGTGTGGCTGAGCCACTGCAAATCCAACACTGCTCCTAGTGAATGCTGTTAGTGGCGTATTTGAATAATAGTCATATTTTAATATCATGGGTGCCATTGAAAGTATCTTAATTATTCTTCTGAATATTTTGTAGTATAAGGCATTGAGAAGAAAAAACAGTATTGAAATGAATATCTAGATTTAAATAAAGTATAACATTTGAATAATTAGTAGAGGGAAGTAGAAGAGAATAAATGTGTAAGAATAACATAAAAGTTAACTCAAGATATATTCTTTTTAAACACTGTGTGTACATTATACAAATTTACATCTTCTTTAGTATTATAGCCTTTTCCATATGCATGTGGTACATGTATATTGTCCATTCACCAAAGCTATAATCCTTGAGACCAAAAGTGTGTTTTTTTAAAAGAAGGAATAAACATTAAAACAGGAAAGGTTATCGAAGCTCATTCTCAAACTGTGTAATAAATTTTGAGGAAATAAATTAGATTATGGATGCTTAGAAGTGATAAAAATCATATTAACAAAATGTAGGTGATTTATTTTAACTTTGAGCTATTTTTAATAGATTTGGAGGAATTGGTTGTTGGATTTAGAACTGTATAAAACACTATTGGAGTGTGGAGGAAAAAAGGGGAAGTCTGTTATAACTGAATAGGGGTGTGGTCTGCTTAGGCTCAAAGAATAAATAGTAGTTTCATAAAGGACTAATATAACTGTACAGTCTTCAGAACTAGCCGTTACAGGCAGCCCATTTTCTCTATAGAAGTATGTCTATTAATACCAGCCAGCTTGGCGAGTTACAGAAACCACAGCCTGTGGATTTGGGCATATGCACTCTCTGCCTGCATCTAATCCTTCGGGTAACAATATACCTACAACTCCTGTAATCCTAGAGCAGTTACATGGATGCACTAAGTGGTGTGATGGGAAGGAAAGATAGCATCACAAGGATTCGTTTGATTATAACAGTAATCCATACCAAGTCAAATAAAACAGCCAAACAGTTTAAAATGTGGCCTCTAATGAATTTAAAATGTGGCCTGTTAATTCTAGCAGGCCCTCACAAACATTTCCTGCTAGAGTACCCCATATCAAAACGAAGTGGCTGTGGTTTAATTACAAGGAATAATTATTTGATTTCCAGGAAGTTAAGACAGGGCTTTGTATTTAAATAAAAAGTTCTAGACATGCTGTGAAACTCGATCAAACCGAGAAAATGGGTGAAACTGAATGCCTGTTCAGTGAGTCAAGATTTCAGCTGCTCACCAAGCCTGACGTGACAGTTTATGAGTCCAGAAAAGGGGTATTTTAAAGCCGGCTGGCTGGATCGTGTCACCTTATTATAGAAGCCCTTCCTTTCCAGAGACCTAAAGTGTAATGCAAGCAGAGGCTGTTAAGGGGCTCGAGACTCGGCGTCTTCTGCCCCTCTCCACTAGCAGAGACCCCAGTTTTTAGGGGAAATGCTCTGATAGAGTCTCCCTCCCTTTTGAGGGGCTATAAAAGCCTGGGGCCTCTTATCTCAGCGGCTTTGGGCTTGAGTGTGGGGCAAGAAAGGGGGGGCGAGGCCTGTGGGTGTCTCTTTTGCCTGAGGAGTTGGAGACACTTGTGGAAAAGTCAGGCCCTTTTCGCTCCGGCGGCCGCTCCGGTGTGGGGCTGGCTTGGGTTAGACACATGCACACATACACCATAGAGCTCTGCTTTCCCGTAGCAGCTGCTGCCTCTGCCTCTGCCTCTCCCGCCTCAGCCTCTTTGCCCGGCATACACACACATTCAGATTTACGCGCTGTTTCAATCCTTGATGACGTGTCCCCGGAGACAACCAATAGCAAACGGGCTCTGGTCAGGACAATGGGAGGTATCGGACCAATGAGCGGGCCCCGTGAGTTGGCGGTAGCCAATAGGAGCCGCGCTGGCTGGAGAGTAATGTTACAGAGCGGAGAGAGTGAGGAGGCTGCGTCTGGCTCCCGCTCTCACAGCCATTGCAGTACATTGAGCTCCATAGAGACAGCGCCGGGGCAAGTGAGAGCCGGACGGGCACTGGGCGACTCTGTGCCTCGCTGAGGGTGAGTCTGGGGCAGCGCCGCGGCGGGGAGAGCGCCTCAGGCAGCTCCCCAGCCCGCGCGGCGGCCGGATCCCTGCGGCCGGGAGCCGGCGGGTCAGGATCCACACAAAGGCAAATGAGGGGGGACCGTGGGGGGAACTGCGCACGGAGCGAGCCTCTGCTCGGGCGCCGGGGACGCTGCCCCGCGCCGGAGCCCCGGCCCACAGGCTGCCTGAGGCGCGGGGAGCCCCGAGCCCCGCGAGTTTCACCCCTGGCGGCGTCCGCGCTGACTGGCGCAAAAAAAAATTTTTTTTTTAATTAAAAAATTTTTAACGTGTTTTCGG